TATCTAGTTATAGCAACATCCACTATGTGTATTCAAGCCTATTTTCAGTTGCACTTTGCCTCTGTATAAATACACATACATAGTAGGTATAGAGATGTCCACTAATCATGCTGCGAGCAATCCGCACATGCTGTGCTCTCTCACATTTCCTCTGCTTCCAAAATATGTTTATAGTCAGATGGCCAGATTCCGTGACTAAAATCACCTCCTGTTCTCACTAATGTAGATCACACCACATCTGGCATTCAGTCAAAGTGGTTCAGTGCTGGGTGGAAGGTCCCTTGTACTGTAGGTCATCACGCATTACCTACATGTGCATTGTTTTGTAAAAATAAAATGCATGCTTTATATAGATAGAGTATTTTTATACTTTAAAAATTAGTATGACACAGAAATATTTAAAAATATTGTGCCAATGCACGTTTCCTTCCTTTTGATCTTCTGTTTCCGTCCCCAGTGTCACAGAAGCTTCGATGTCTCAATAATTCCTGTTCAGACTAGTCAGCGTCAGCTAAAGGCAGTTCAGTGGATGACAGCGACGTCAAGTCCGGAAACTAAAAACAACCGAGAGGAACATCTACCGCGTCTGAGAATGTTTCTGCTGATGCGGCTGCAGTGAAAGTTATAGCAGACCAGTAATTTCCATCACTGAAGCTCTGGTGTTCTCATCAGCAGCTGTCCACTGTGGATGGCCAGTGGCAACGTTTTTACTGACTGAGGTCAAAATAAAAAACCACCCAGTACAATTATACTGATGCTGCTGATTGCAGTCTACATGAGCAATAGATTTTTGTGCAGAAAATATGAATAGTGGTTTTGCATTTTGTGGATGGTTGCCAGGGTGTTGCTTTTTTTTTTTTTTACCAGGGATCCATCAATATCAGAAAATTCAGAATAAATTAATATTAAAATAATATAATTTAAAATTAGTTTTTAATACTGTAAACAGTACTGTTCAAAAGTTTGAGGTCGGTAAGATGTTTTTTTTTTTAAGTCTTCTGCTCACCAAGGCAGCATTTAAAAATATATGTTTATAGTCAGATGGCCAGATTCCGTGACTAAAATCACCTCCTGTTCTCACTAATGTAGATCACACCACATCTGGCATTCAGTCAAAGTGGTTCAGTGCTGGGTGGAAGGTCCCTTGTACTGTAGGTCATCACGCATTACCTACATGTGCATTGTTTTGTAAAAATAAAATGCATGCTTTATATAGATAGAGTATTTTTATACTTTAAAAATTAGTATGACACAGAAATATTTAAAAATATTGTGCCAATGCACGTTTCCTTCCTTTTGATCTTCTGTTTCCGTCCCCAGTGTCACAGAAGCTTCGATGTCTCAATAATTCCTGTTCAGACTAGTCAGCGTCAGCTAAAGGCAGTTCAGTGGATGACAGCGACGTCAAGTCCGGAAACTAAAAACAACCGAGAGGAACATCTACCGCGTCTGAGAATGTTTCTGCTGATGCGGCTGCAGTGAAAGTTATAGCAGACCAGTAATTTCCATCACTGAAGCTCTGGTGTTCTCATCAGCAGCTGTCCACTGTGGATGGCCAGTGGCAACGTTTTTACTGACTGAGGTCAAAATAAAAAACCACCCAGTACAATTATACTGATGCTGCTGATTGCAGTCTACATGAGCAATAGATTTTTGTGCAGAAAATATGAATAGTGGTTTTGCATTTTGTGGATGGTTGCCAGGGTGTTGCTTTTTTTTTTTTTTTTACCAGGGATCCATCAATATCAGAAAATTCAGAATAAATTAATATTAATTAATATAATTTAAAATTAGTTTTTAATACTGTAAACAGTACTGTTCAAAAGTTTGAGGTCGGTAAGATGTTTTTTTTTTTTTTAAGTCTTATGCTCACCAAGGCAGCATTTAAAAATATATATACATTTATAAAATATATTTATATTATATTATATTTATTATTATATTCCCGTGGTAGTGTAAATGTAAAAATAGGGGAAATGATACTGCACAAATAATTTTGATGTGGTTGCTAGTGTTTTCTGGTTGGTTGCTAGGCAGTTGCCTTCCCTTTTGAAATAATTATTACCCACCAAGCAGAAAAATGTAAGTTCAACCACTTGGAAAAATAATTGCATGATCCTGATTATGAATGCAGTGTGTATGTGTGTTTTCCAGACAGTAAGATGGTGCCAGCTGAATATCTCTGTCCTACTGGGACTCATGAAGGCATGGATGAGTGGCATCTGTCAAGCAGCTGCTCTGAGCTTGACCTCCAGGAAGATCTGTCATCCTTCTCAAATTCTCCAAACGCTCTAAACTCAGTGCTGTCACGTCAGCTCAACGATGACTTGCATTTCCACTGTGTCCATGGCAACGGTCTGCGTCTACTGACTGAACACATAGCGGTGCGTTGGTATAACAGACGTGAGGATTGCGCTCTGGCGTTCACTCATCGGCCGTTGCGCTGTGGAGAGTGTGTGTTCCTAAAGGTCTCGTTAAGGTCTTCTGCTCTGAATGGATTTTTGTCTTATGGATTCACTTCCTGTAACCCAGCCCATATTAACCCAAAGCACCTGCCGGTTAATCCAGATGACCTGATGGACCGCAAAGAATTCTGGGCTTTTAGCTGCCTGACTTCACCGCTTGTGGGCGGGGATATCATCGGTTTCCGGGCAACTGCAGAAGGGGAGGTGCTTGTGAGTCATAATGGAGGCAGGGCCTGCAGAGAGATATGTGTGGATAACTCCGCTTCTCTGTGGATGATCTTCCATTTACAGCCACACATCAAGCAAATCAGCATACTGGGTAAAAAAATACAATAAAAAAAAAAAAGGATTGCTCTGGCATAAGGTGATGACGTTTATTATTATTTTTCCAACTTTTCATAAGTGACTTTGATTATTGATTGTAATTAAATTATTATATATATATATATATATAATTTCAATCCAAATTGCATGGATAGTCCTAGTTATTAACAACCTGATTGCAAAACTGACCTGCAATGACAATTGGTTTCTCATAATGCTAATATAATATAATTTTAATTGTAAATATTTATTCACCTTTTTAAATTATTGCTCTGGCATAATGTGAAGGTGTTTAGATTTGTAAAAAATTTTCCTATATCCAATTTTACATAAGTAACTTTGGTAACACTTTATTTTAAGGTGTCCTTGTTACACTTGTTAGATGTACATACTATTATAATAACAATTATGCATAATTACATGCAAGTAACCCAAACCCAAATCCTAACCCTAACCATATAAAATAAAGTGTAACCGTAACTTTAATTGATTTTTGATTATAATTAATTTATAATATAATGTAATATAATATTATATAATTATTTGTTTACTTTTTGTACTAAACAGCCATGTTTATGACATGATAAAAGGTATGATTGACATTTTTATTTAATATTAGTTGTGTAGGATTAATGCCTTTTTAATTGTTGCTCTGGCATAATGTGAAGATGTTTATGATTGTTTATTTTTTCCCTTATCAAACTCTTCATAAGTGACTTGAATTAATTTTTTATTAAAATGAAATTATAATGTAATATCATTTTAATTATTTGTTTATTTATTATTATTTGTGCAGGGTTAATGGATTTTTAATATTTTTTTCAAGGCACTTCCTGTGGTTACTCTCCATCCTGTTCAGAAGTACAGAGGTCCATCTTTAGTGATGCCAGTCATCTCTCAGCCAATCAGATTACCAGTACAGCAGTCAGGGGCTTTACGGACAGCTTTCAGTCCCACTCACAGTATCTCAGCAGTTCTGCAGGTGCGTTCCTGTCTTTCATTCTTTTATTTTCTATTAATTTGTTGATTTATCCAATTCCTTAACTAAAAATATAGTTTCTCATTGCGGTTTTCTCTGTGATTGCTGTGGTCACCAGGGACAACATTCGGTTCACTGTCCTCAGAATCTCCCAGTACCCCATCATGCTGTGCGATTACTAGTGAGGAGTGTTTGATTTGCTGCGAGAGGGTAGTGGACTCAGTGCTGTACACATGCGGACACATGTGCATGTGCTCCGTCTGTGGTGGGAAGCTAATGGAGATGTCAAACCCGTCTTGCCCCATGTGTCGCAGCCCAATCAGAGACGTCATCAAAATATTCCGCAACATGTAACCGGGAAACCACCTCTCCGACAAACAGGATCACAGTACCTGGGTGAATCTGAAGAGGCTCCGTTACAGGTCACTGTCTCATTCCCACAATTCCATTTAAAAGACTGCTTGTTTGAACTCAGCAAGGAAGAGGTACTAAATGACTGCTTAATGTACTAAATGTCTGACCAAAAATGCTGAGAGAACCCAGAAGTAACTGCTTAAGTGAATGGCACAACATCCCAGATACTATAAATCTCTATTGACAAATGGCTAGATGTGCATAATGGGAAATCAAGCTACTATGAGACTAATTCTGATTTTCAGTAAACTAGTAACTTCATACAAAACTGTTCACATGTTTTTAAATGTTTGTTCCCACACTATTCATATTTATCAAGAAATAAACATTTCTTTAACTTGTATATGTTCATTCAATCCAGAATCAGAATCTGAAAACGACATTGCGGATTTGATGTGTTGGTAAATGTATTTTTTTGCAAAATATTAAACAGAAAAACAAAAAAAATGTTTTACATACCAAAGTAGACATTCACAAAATTGTAAGTGCCAATAACTTTTATGTTCAATGTGGAATTAAACTAAAACTCGAATGCTACCCAACAGAAGAGCCTGTATTTATTATTGTAAATATAAAAATATAATTATAGATATTTTTAAGGCTTTTATATTAAGCATTTATCATCTGTATGTACAAACACTTGTTTGTACATACAGATGTACAAACACACAAACGCCATCAAACTATTGTGATTAAGATACAAAATAGCACTTGGCCATTTATTATAAGCTTTGGTTTGAAAATGAAGTGATTTAATAGGAATAGCACAATTTTTAATTACACAAACAAACAGACATTCATAGATAGATAGATAGATAGATAGATATTTATTCATATTTATGCATATTTATTTAGTTAAAAAAAAGAGACACATTTGAACAGAAACCACCTGCAGCATATTAAGACCAGCTAAGAGCAATAACTAAAAGCCTGTTCAGTGACAATAACATCACATCATCCAGCACAAGCAGGAGTATACAGCATATAAACAAGGTGTCAATCAACAAGAGAATTAACTTGTGACTGACTCTCTTAGTGTTCCCTTTGATTTTGTTAACAGAGATAGCCATGTCTCTTATGAATTAAAAAGGGAACACGTTTTTATTGGGTCATGGTCAAGATAGAGAGTATGAGACGTACGGCCGTTTGGTAATTAATTCTGGTAACCCACTAGCTCCTCCTCTCCAGGAAGTTGGAGGGCACCCATCCTTTTCGTGTTTTAGCAGTGTCGAGCACACGGCAGTACCACCATCCATTAGGGTTTCTCTCCAGGACCTCTAGCCTCGTGCCAGCAGGGAAGCTCATGGTCTCTGAGTCACCGTGATAGTCGGCGATAGAAACATACTCCTCGCGTAGGTTGTTGTGGATCAGATGCGGTTTAGGCTTCACCATTGATACCGGTACTTTACGTCTCATGCTCTCGGTATTAACTGCACAGGAAGAAGTGGTTTGATCATTGTAGCTATGACTAGGTAGCGCATCGTTCCTCCGTCCTGCGGGAGTTGTGTGCGTATTAGTGTTGTCCTTGAGGACGTTCTGAGGTCTGACAGCGAGCTGCTTCACACCGACCCGGCAGTTCAGTTGGTTAGATCTGTGTCCGCTCTTCAGGCTTTGGTTAACACGCTGCTCGTTCTTCTCCAAACTTACGCATTTTTATCCAATTCCTTAACTAAAAATATAGTTTCTCATTGCGGTTTTCTCTGTGATTGCTGTGGTCACCAGGGACAACATTCGGTTCACTGTCCTCAGAATCTCCCAGTACCCCATCATGCTGTGCGATTACTAGTGAGGAGTGTTTGATTTGCTGCGAGAGGGTAGTGGACTCAGTGCTGTACACATGCGGACACATGTGCATGTGCTCCGTCTGTGGTGGGAAGCTAATGGAGATGTCAAACCCGTCTTGCCCCATGTGTCGCAGCCCAATCAGAGACGTCATCAAAATATTCCGCAACATGTAACCGGGAAACCACCTCTCCGACAAACAGGATCACAGTACCTGGGTGAATCTGAAGAGGCTCCGTTACAGGTCACTGTCTCATTCCCACAATTCCATTTAAAAGACTGCTTGTTTGAACTCAGCAAGGAAGAGGTACTAAATGACTGCTTAATGTACTAAATGTCTGACCAAAAATGCTGAGAGAACCCAGAAGTAACTGCTTAAGTGAATGGCACAACATCCCAGATACTATAAATCTCTATTGACAAATGGCTAGATGTGCATAATGGGAAATCAAGCTACTATGAGACTAATTCTGATTTTCAGTAAACTAGTAACTTCATACAAAACTGTTCACATGTTTTTAAATGTTTGTTCCCACACTATTCATATTTATCAAGAAATAAACATTTCTTTAACTTGTATATGTTCATTCAATCCAGAATCAGAATCTGAAAACGACATTGCGGATTTGATGTGTTGGTAAATGTATTTTTTTGCAAAATATTAAACAGAAAAACGAAAAAAATGTTTTACATACCAAAGTAGACATTCACAAAATTGTAAGTGCCAATAACTTTTATGTTCAATGTGGAATTAAACTAAAACTCGAATGCTACCCAACAGAAGAGCCTGTATTTATTATTGTAAATATAAAAATATAATTATAGATATTTTTAAGGCTTTTATATTAAGCATTTATCATCTGTATGTACAAACACTTGTTTGTACATACAGATGTACAAACACACAAACGCCATCAAACTATTGTGATTAAGATACAAAATAGCACTTGGCCATTTATTATAAGCTTTGGTTTGAAAATGAAGTGATTTAATAGGAATAGCACAATTTTTAATTACACAAACAAAGAGACATTCATAGATAGATAGATAGATAGATAGATATTTATTCATATTTATGCATATTTATTTAGTTAAAAAAAAGAGACACATTTGAACAGAAACCACCTGCAGCATATTAAGACCAGCTAAGAGCAATAACTAAAAGCCTGTTCAGTGACAATAACATCACATCATCCAGCACAAGCAGGAGTATACAGCATATAAACAAGGTGTCAATCAACAAGAGAATTAACTTGTGACTGACTCTCTTAGTGTTCCCTTTGATTTTGTTAACAGAGATAGCCATGTCTCTTATGAATTAAAAAGGGAACACGTTTTTATTGGGTCATGGTCAAGATAGAGAGTATGAGACGTACGGCCGTTTGGTAATTAATTCTGGTAACCCACTAGCTCCTCCTCTCCAGGAAGTTGGAGGGCACCCATCCTTTTCGTGTTTTAGCAGTGTCGAGCACACGGCAGTACCACCATCCATTAGGGTTTCTCTCCAGGACCTCTAGCCTCGTGCCAGCAGGGAAGCTCATGGTCTCTGAGTCACCGTGATAGTCGGCGATAGAAACATACTCCTCGCGTAGGTTGTTGTGGATCAGATGCGGTTTAGGCTTCACCATTGATACCGGTACTTTACGTCTCATGCTCTCGGTATTAACTGCACAGGAAGAAGTGGTTTGATCATTGTAGCTATGACTAGGTAGCGCATCGTTCCTCCGTCCTGCGGGAGTTGTGTGCGTATTAGTGTTGTCCTTGAGGACGTTCTGAGGTCTGACAGCGAGCTGCTTCACACCGACCCGGCAGTTCAGTTGGTTAGATCTGTGTCCGCTCTTCAGGCTTTGGTTAACACGCTGCTCGTTCTTCTCCAAACTTACGCATTTACTCATCTTTCCAACATCTCCCTGAACTGAACTCTCCAACTCAGGAGACGCAGACCAAGACGTCTCAGAATTAACCTTCTCTGTGGTTTTGGCTTCTGTACCGCTTGTTTCTGAGCTTTTGATTGCCTGTAAGTAGTAAGTGGGCGCCCAACCCTCTTCGTTCCCCCAGCGGATGAACCACCAGCCACTCTCCTGCTTCTCCAGAACCTCTACCTGCACTCCCACGGGAAAGCTGAGCTCATACGGCTCTTCCTGCTGGTATGCCGCAGTAGTTTGGTACAAAAAGGAAGGCGGATTAGAGAACGTCTGGAAGTTCTCGGAGTCATTCTCAGAGTCCTCAGATGTCCGGGAGCTCCTGAATTGTATCTGGCCTGGTTGCTCCTGGTTTTGGGGTCTTCTGATGGAACTACAGTCTTGGTTTGCAGGTTTTGGACGCACGGATGGTTTGGATTTCAACTCATCAGCCTGCTGTTTGAGTTTAGATTGCTTTGTGTGTGTGTAGAGTGTTGTATTGGTCTCAATGTTGGGCTCGATTGTTGGTGCGTCATATTCCGGTGGATCCCACATTGATGCCCGGTGAGCCGCAGAGGACAAGTATGTGTCCGAGTGACTGTCCTTACACTGTGGTACAGCTCTGAAACCACCGTTCACATAAACACCCTCATCATCCTCCTCATCCCCTTCACCCAATGTAAAAGAAATGGTACGCTGACTCAAAGGAGGAGGGGCTTTAGTCGGTGCATCTCCTGGAAGAAACTCCTGCTCAGGGTCGAATTCAAGGCCCACTGTTGGAACATCATATTCTGGTTCCTCGTACACTCGTGGACTCGTTAGGCTCACAGCCTCAGACTCAACACATGGAAGCGAGTTCTGCTTTTTGATTGGCGGAGCAGGAGGTGGGACCTTTGGCCGGGTCAGTGTACTGGTTTGGCGGTTCAAGGTGGGTTTCTTGCGTTTGTCGATGTAAGAACACGGGGCCCAACCCTCCTTCTCTCCAATCTGGACATACCACCAGCCTCCAGAGTTCTTGTCAATGACCTGTAAACATTCACAGTTTCCAGACCATTTGTAGAAATACTTATATTTAATGTTATTTGCAGCTAATAGGCAACATTGGGGTGAGTTGACGCACTTTTTACTGAATATTTTAGATCAGTTTCTGTATAGATACAAACCTTGAAGTTCTATACTGTTTTTTGACCAACGATATAGTTGTTATATAGGCTAAGCCGTCACAATGGAAACCACTTTTTTTGTCACTGATTTAGAAACAGTACCTTTTTTAAAACTATAAAAATATTTTACGAAATTTTTTTTTTTTAAATAAGTCTCTAATGCTCACCAAGTCAACATTTATTTGATCAAAAATCCACAACAGTAATATTGTGACATTTTACTATAATTTTCTATTAAATAAAATTTAATTTTCATCAGCCATTACTTCCAACTTCATTGTCACACAATCTTTCAGAAATCATTTTATATATGCTTATTTGGTGCTTAATAAACATTATAATTATCAATACTAAAAACCGCTTACATTTGTGGAAACTGTGATAATTATGTTTTCAGGATTCTTTGATAAACAGGAAATTTAAAAGAACAGCATTTATTGGAAATAGAAATCTTTTGTAAAATTATAAAAATGTCTTTAAAGTCAGTTTTGTTCAGTTTAATGCATCCCTGCTGATTAACAGTACTTATTTATTATTTTAAATTCCCAAAACCGATTAAACAGTGAAACTGAATAGTTTGTTTTACCTCAGCTTTCTGTCCTCCACTGAAACTGATCCCATCTGTCAAGCAGGACCTGAACTCAGCGATGGTGTAATACTCAGCTTCAACAGTAGGGGGATCTGGGGGCTGCGGTAACTGAAATCCCTGAGAGTGAAGCGAAGAATATGGTGTTCAGCATATTATAAACCACAACATGACCTATTTGTGTGTGTGTGTGTGTGTGTGTGTGTGTGTGTGTGTGTGCGTGCGTGTGTGCAATGGAAAGAAAGAGGAAAAAACAGAGAATGGGAAAATGAGAACACACACTGACCAGGCTGTTTTCTCGACGGGGAGGTGGCTTTTGATTGTTTGATGGTGATCCTAGGGAAAACAAATCAGAAATCAAAATGTGTTTACTATCACATAACATGGTTCAAAAACATTATAGATCATGCCTAAAGAAAGAAAGAAGACAAAAGGAAATAAAGAGAAAGAAAATTAAAAAATAAAAACAAAAAGAGAAATAAAAGTGAAAATTAAAGAAAAAGAGAAAGAATCTCACTGGTCTCAACACTGTGGAATCTCTGAGGTGCGACTCGAGCAATGGCAGGAGATGGAGGGACTGTTTTGGTCTTTATTGTGGATGATGTTGAAGACACACTTGCTTCAGAAACAGACGCAGTTACACAAGCATCCGACACTGACACAGACACACTGCTGTCTGAGACAGACAGATGCACACTGGTGTCTGTGTGCTGGGTGTCCTGATCATCAGAGTCTCTCTCTAAACCACTACTGCCTGTATTAGCTGCTGTGCTAATGCTGCTGCTGCGGTTTCTATCAGTGTGTGTATTGTTACTGTAAGCATCAGTCTGCTCCGCATCGCCGTTGTACTGTGTATATGTGTCAGTCTGTAAGTGCCTGTATGTGTTTGTGTTGCTGTTACGGTGTGCACTGGTGTCAGTTTGTGTGTGTGAGTGTCGTTCATTGGCAGGTTTCTTGTTCAGGAGGTTGCTGATCTCCATAAGGTTTCCGATGATTTCCACCTGACCCTGCACAGCTGGTTTATTGGTCTCTGTTGCCTGGTTACCAGCTATGACACCATCTTGCATTTTCCTCAAGTAGGCAGCTGGAGCCCATCCCTCCTTACCACCATAACTGAGAGGAGAACAGAGAGAGAGATGATTCACATACTCACAATACATAAAACCAACCAAGGGCATTTTCTCAAAACTATATAATTATATGCAATACCATTCATAAGCTTGGGGTTAGTGAGACTTTTTTTTTTTTTTTCATTTTTGAAAGAAATTATTCCTTTTATTCAGCAAAGACGCATTAAATTGCTCAAAAGCGTCAGTAAAGACATTTATAATTTTACAAAAAATATTTCAAATAAATACTGTTCCTTTGAACTTTTTATTTATCAAAAAATACTGGAAAATGTACTGTGGTTTCCACAAAAAAAATTTAGCAGAACAATGTTTTCAACATTGATAATAAGAAAAGATTCTTGAGCACCAAATCAGCATATTAGAATGATTTTAAATTAGAAGCATATTAGAAGGATCTGTTCCTTAGGGTACCATCCAGTGACAACTTTGTACCTTTATTTCTGACTGAGTGAGTGAGAGCGTAAAGTTAGGAGTGACTGGGGGGGGGCTGCCTGTTTGTCATCAATGATTGATCTAAAGCAAACTTTACAATTCAATTTTTTTTTCTGCAAAAACCCATTAAATATTGAGACAATTCCAGCTAAAGAAAGCAAAGGATTTTTAAAATGTATTGAAGTAGTTTAAAGAGAAGAATAAACATGAAGATGAGTTTACCGTATGAACCACCAGCCCTCCAGATTCCTCTGGATGACCTCAACAATGACGCCTCTCTCAAAGCCCAGCTCATCCTGACTTGAACTGCTGAAGGACTGAACCGTAATATACCTCTCTGCTACAAACAAAAGAGGAAAGAAAGCACAATGTACACTGTCCTGCTACAAGATACAATGTACATAGACATACAAATGCAAAGCTTAGAAAAAAGAATAGAACAAATATATTGTAAATCTGTGTGTAGCTGTCCTGCATGTGTATACCTGTACAGTATCCTCAAAAATGATTTGGACACTTACATTTAAAAATTTACAGATTTTATTTAATTTGGTGTGAAAATATCAAAATATCAGTGAAAAAACTTTTCTTGGAACTAACGTTTCTTCATTACTAAGGATACTGAAATTTGTTTTTCTAAAAATGTGTGCTCATGCTATATTTCTTTAAAATACATGCCCTACGATTTGATATTTTTTATCTAATGCAATGAAATTCATACATTTTTAAATGTGCCTTAAGTGTCTAAATACTTTTTGGGCCACTTTAAGTAATGCTTGTGTGATTCGTTTGTTTGCTATTTTGGTGTCGAAGTGGAAAACCCAAATGAAACATGCAGACATTGCAGAATCTCTCCACCACAAGTCACATTCTCTCTCTGTAATATAGGTCAGTGTGCGCTAGACCTGATTGTACAGTAAAAGCTTCTGGACCAGGAGATGGAAAATCTGACATCTTTGCTGGAATTTCCACTCCCAGGCTGTTAAATGCTCCCTGAACTGTGTGTGTGTTTGGAGCAAGGGGGTCCCTTGGCTATGATGCAATGCCTGTATGGTTTTCATCCAAGCAAGACTATGTGCTGACATGGCATGAACTTGCGTCCGTAACAGAATTCACCAACAGTTTTCATCCATAAATCTTTTGAAACAAATGAATGGAAACTATTAAGAGTTAAGGGTTGCGCAAGACAAAGAAAAACAGGACATTTGGCCACTGCTTGTGTTTTACACAAGCCAGCCGCTCTGATATCTGTTGTGAAAGATGTGGCTTGTTTGTTCAACGGTTCTTGATTCAGTTTAGTGGCAGCATGGGTGATTAAACGGGTAGTTTAGCAGTGTATCTTTGTCTTACTCTCTCCATTTGGTGCTTTGTGGCTATCTCGACGTCCTGTGAGAGAGACAAGGTATGTAGCAGGAACCCAGCCTTGTTCTTCAGCTGTTCTTACAAACCACCACCCTGAAGAGAAAGAGTCCGTGAGCACATACCACTGATGTAACTGATTCCAGCTGTTCATTTGAATTTGGGTCACTTCCCTTCTGTCTTCATAGTTTAACTAGTCCTGAACACATCAACATAAACAAAAATCAGATCATTAAATAATATTTTTAGGGGAAAAGGATATGGCAAAAAGCATCTGTGATTTCTGTAATGCAATCATTTTCAGGCCAAGGACCCTTTGGTGGATAAAGAGGTGGAGCAAAGACTCCCTGTTACATAGTGTATAAATATGAATGCTGCACGCCTTGGCCTTAATTAGCATGCATATAGTATCATATTATTATTTTATGTTACATTGCAAAGCCATTAAATTATCTGTATTGACGTGCAAAGTCAGGTACATTACATGATATTTTAATGGAGGGACAATGAAACATTTAGCTGAACTTTAACTTCAGAAGTTAACAATATCATATATTTCAGTAAGATTTTTTAAACGTTTTTGAAGCAAGTCTCTTATGCTTACCAACGCTGCATTTGTTTGATGAAAAACGTTAATATTTCAAAATATTATTACAAATTAAAATAACAGTTTTCTATTTTAATATATTTAAAAAAATTTAATTATGTTATGGCAAATCTGAATTTTCAGCAGAAATTACTCCAAACTGCAGAGTCACATGATCTTTCAGAAACAGTTCTAATATAGTTCTGATTTGCTTCTCAGGAAACATTCACTATTATTGTTGTTGTTGTTGAAAACAGTTGTGCTGCTTAATATTTTCATGGAAACCATGATTAAAAAAACAGAAATATTTCATAACATTATAAATGTCTATCACTGTATGTACTATCACTTTTAATCAATTGAATGCATACTTGCTGAAATTTTTTTTATTTCTTTAAAAAATCCTGAAAACATTTGAGCAGTAGTGTATTTGACATCAGTTAAATTTTCCAATGAATTGTTAACCCTTATAATTATATACTTCACTAATGTTTTAAAATAGCCTTAAAATTGTAAAAACCACAAAACTGTTTATGCTGAACACAAGCACGCTGTCACTGGTTACACACCTGCCATGAGTTAGTGCTTACAGTGTGAGACGCTCATTAGAGCAAACAAACACACGCACTAGGTCGCCAGATTCCCAGTTTATTATGCTCTGTAAAAAAAATACCTTTAGGAAAATAAATGGACAGATTGACTCACATAAGTACAGACAGAACATCAGATATCTGCAGTCTTTTTGTTAGCATATATTGCACATGCCTTCATCTGTTTGTGTGTATGCATGTGTTAAAGGACAGAATCAGAACATTCCAAACTAACGTAAGAAAAAGAGATATGAGAACAGATATAACAGATAACAGTCACTGATGAGGAAGAGAGGGAAAAAAAGAAGAGTTCTTGGAAAGTTAGGAAGGTTGTCTTGGCTTATTAAGCTCATAATGATTTTAACAAAGAGTTCAGCAACACACACTCACACAAGGACACAAACAAATACACATACGCATATGAACACACACTTTTTCTGCTGAGGAAAGATTCTGGCGGATCCATTAAGATGATCTAAAGACCATCACTCAAATACGAGTCTCTGGCTGTGGTGGGCATTTTCCAGACACATACACAAACTCTTCTACTGCTCTAAAACGACTCAATATCAATGCTTTCCTCAGAACAGATCATTTAATTTACTGTCTTTGCATGTTCAAGTTTTCACATTTCAAAGCAGTATTTCAGTAAAACAAAAAGTCATTCTGAATTCTCTCCAGACACACTATTTGTTTCAAACCCACAGTGTAGGCTGGAAACTTTCCATTTCTCCAAATTAAATCCAACTGCTGCTTTAAATTCTGGTAAGACATGTAAACCAAACAATATTTACTTATAAAGCTTTACAATAACTCATGTTGTGGTGCAAATTTTCCGACATCCAAATAGATGCAGAATGGTAAATATTGCTGCTTTTTGCTGTGATTGTGAAGGTGATTTATGATGAATGAGTATCTTTGAACCGTTTTTTTTTTTTTTGCATGTCTTTGGAATTAAATAGGTCATTTTGTGGTAGCTATATATCATTATTCAGTCATTTAGCTTCCAAAGAGGCCATAAAAATAATAATTGTGACATCAGAAAAATAAGCACAGTTGCCATATCAAAGACAGTTTACAAAAGGTCAAAGTAATGCATTGACAACAAATCCTGAGGACAGCATAAATTTGTCGCATCGTCACAGTTTGAATGTTTTAAAGAAAATGTTAAGTGCACTTTTAAGAACACATTTTCTTTTATTTTTATTAAAACAAAAAAATAAATTAGGTTTTGATTTTTTTTTTGAGTGTCTATGTTTGTTAGTATGTTAGTGGATGTTCAAAAGTGTGAGACTACTGAAAATCTAGTATCTAAAACAATCCTGAGGACAGCATAAATTTGTCGCATCGTCACAGTTTGAATGTTTTAAAGAAAATGTTAAGTGCACTTTTAAGAACACATTTTCTTTTATTTTTATTAAAACAAAAAAATAAATTAGGTTTTGATTTTTTTTTTTGAGTGTCTATGTTTGTTAGTATGTTAGTGGATGTTCAAAAGTGTGAGACTACTGAAAATCTAGTATCTAAAATCAAATTTAAGTGTTATGTTAAAATAAAAAACCATTGAAGATTGTGTTCAATTTTAGGTTAATAATCGACATTGATCACGTGACTGTTCAGACAGTCAGATGTTCTTGCTGAAGGACTGGAGGACAAGATGCTCTTTGGATAATCTCAAAACATACTGGAGAACTTTCTGAAATTCATGTTCATTTTTTTAATTAAATAATAAAAAACTGAAAACTCAAATTGTGTTGCTTATTATGGAAGTTGTATTTAAAAATGTTGCATTACATTATAAAAATGCAAAGTACAAGCATTTTTACCAGTGATTTCTGACTTTTGGACCCCACTGTACGTACAAGACTATGTTGTGTGTGTATGGATGTGTGTCACTCACCGCTCTCACTCTTTTCAATCACCTCGACTCTCTCTCCTGCTTTCAGGCTGATTTCTGTATTTTCCTGACGCTGGTAGTCTGCCGTCACCACATACACACACATACACTCCTCTACACCCAGGGCTTCTCCATGTTCTCTCCCTGAGGATGATGGAAAAAAACAGGCCGTAAGCCAGCTGCCTCCACGCCCGCGTCCACCTGAACTGCGCCGCGCCATTCACCAAAACCAACACAGCCCCAGCCAATCAGCACGTGGTACCAGATCAATGGCTCATCCAAGAATCAACAACAACACTGGCCCAAAGAGGCTCAGATCTGTGGAGTTAATGTCTCAACAAGCAAAAAGGCTCAGGTACAACAAATCCTACTTTCATCCAGTCTCATCCCACCTTAAAGTTCCAAGGTAAAAGGTTTTGAGCAAGCACAGTTCAACCTGAAGCACATCCTACCGGCCCTGGGCTCAGGGGTCCAACCAACGACAAGACTCATATGGGCTCTGGCATCTCCTCTAAGAGTTTCAGATCCCTTCTGCAGCAGGACACAGGCCTGACTAAATAAAGAAATGGAGCAAAGGGGGAAAAGAAAGACAGAGAGAAAAGAAAAGGGGTAGCTGACGAAAGGAGTGAAAGATGAGATGAGGAAAATAAACCAAGAGCTATGGGCTCAAGGGGCGGGCAATAGAGAAAGGGGAAACAGATGCCAATCAAATGATGCTCCACCCCTTTAAAACAGTTTAAACAGAAACATATGGCCTATGAAAATAGAGTATACTCACACACTCAGCACATACTCGCATTCTCTCCAACTTTGTTCACATTCTCTGAAACACATCCTACGGCTCTCCGACACAAAAACAGCATGGTCACATTTGAAACACTGATTCTCTATTTTCAAAGAAAAAACAAAGACTACATTAATGGTAGTTTTTAGCATTAGCTTTAGGACTCAATTCATCTCTATAAAAAACATTATATTGTTTCCGGAATTTATGCTAATTGAAAAAAAGGATTTAATACAGTAAAAATACAATAGTGTAATAATGGACTTTACCTGCACTTTATTGTA